GAGCAGCTGGTCAGCCAGGCCCCCTGCCCGCTGTGCCGGCTGGCTCAGCCTTCTTTGTATTCCTTTGGCCTTTTGACTATTGAGCTTCTGCTTTTTTCGTGGTTGTGGTGGTGGTGGTGGCCCTTTATTTAACTCCTCCTCCAGCTTTTGTACCACTTTATTTAAGTACTTCTCGTACCTGTCCACCAGTTGCTTGTTGAAGCTGTCGCTAAAGAGATGACAATCACCCGATAATGCGTCTTGCTGAAGCCGCTTGCAGCTCTTTTGCCAGTTTTTTACTTTTTCCCATTCTTTCCACTTCTGGTGCTTCTCCTCGTCATCGCGTAGGTCATCAGGTACGTCGCACACACAAATGTGCATCTCTCCTTCACCATGTTTCTGAAGCGCCTTCGCACACGCCAGCGTCTGGCGCCAAATATCTGTCTCCCCGCAGCAAGTGGTCTCGTCGCAGACTTTGTCGTCCGTAGTCTGGCAAACAGGGCCAAACCACTCCGAATAACCATCCGATGATTTCACTATCCGAGCCGCATCAAGCTTGCCGTTCTCCTTGCAGTTGCACTTCCGATCATCCTGGGGCTTCCAAGCTTCATCGTACTGGGAACTCTGCAACTCCTGACATGTGTCCTTGTTGGTGCCTTGCGTCTTCCCCAATCGCCAATGCGTGCACTGCTCCACGCAGCGGGGCGATTGGGAAGCTACAGTATTGTGAACCAACATGAGTTTCAATATCTTCAAAGAATGATCCTTTGTTCGGCGAATGCCTTCCCAAAGCTTGTCTTGCCACGTTATATACTTGTTAGAAGTGGCGCCAATGCCGATTTTCCACACCCGGTGTGTGTCTGCAAACTTGTACTTGGCAAAAGATCCGGTGTGTGTCGGCTGAGTTGTGAAGTATAGGACGCCTTCGTCGAAGTCTTCTAGCCGACGTCCAGGCCCCGGCTCGTCACGCACCTCGTCAATCCATGCGAGTACCTCAAGACGAACGGCCTCCATCACGTCCCAAGCTACCTCCGCCAGTGCAAGACTGGCGGCCTCGGAGACGCTCACATCCAACTCTGCACCGGTCCCGTTCGAGCCCGAGCTTAGCAAGCGAGCGCCGTTTGCGAGGAAGTCACTCGCTGCACGGTCACTGGCCTGTCCCAGGGAGCGCTCGGTCTCCGCGTGGAGGACGGCAGTGAGGCGGGGCGACAGGCTCTCCCGCAACCCTGCCATTCTGCTGCTGAGAGATTGAACCTCTGCAGCACCGGTCGCCGAGGCAGTCGATGGCAACTGACCTGTGTTGGGCAGCTATCGCGTCTACCGAAACGGAGATGGGATCGGCTTTTGGCCATGCCCTCCCTAGATCTACGGTCTCCCAATTTGTCTGAACAAGACTTGAAAATTTCGGTGCATCTCTGCCAGCCTGTGATGTTCAAAGGGGGCAGCAACAAATCCACGACTTCCTGGCAGAGCAAAATACATGCAGTCCACCGGTCAGCTCTGACATTATGCTTGTCACATCAAGGGGATGGCTCTCCTGCACTAAGATGTTGATCACTTGCGTCAGCCCTTGGGTCATAGCGCTCTTTAGCTGAATCGCCAGAGCGCCAAGAGACTCCAGCATTTCGGTCAGGAGAGGAACCTCCACACTGCTGAACAGGACACAACAGCATACTGCGCGAACAAAGTCTGGAATTCTCATGTGGCACTGTATGAAGATGAAGTAACGCACGAGAATTCCAGACGACGGACTCGACGACCTTACTTTGCCACCACATCCACCTGGTTGTTCCTGTGTTCTGCCCATATCAGTCGCGCCTATCGAAACAAAGCATTCTCTGAAGATCTGTCGACCCAAACAACAATGACTTCCTGCTACTCTTCCCGACAGGCAAACCCCCATGACCACATAAGCCTCACAATTCCGCCTGTTTGCCTATGCAACTTCGGCTCGGAAGGTGCGCTGCTGCAAGGAAGCCAGAACGAAAGATTGACCGGACTAGGAGGAAAGCAGAAATGAGGAAGAGGACTGGAAGACCGAGGCAGACTAGCACTGAGATAGCAAAGTCAACACCTACGTCTGACCTTCAGCAGACTCAGCAGGAACTCAACAGCACCACCGGCCCAGTCCAGTCCAGCCAAGTAACTCGAAAATTTTGAAGAAGGCCAGCAGACAGAGCATCCCTGGCTATTTCTGCTTGCTCTTGCAGCTTTGCTCCAACAGAGCCGTTCAGCGCTCTTGCTAGGCCACCAGAAAGGCCAGGCTCCAGATGGTCCTCCAAAAAGTTGACGATCTTGGGCCGGGCCATCTCAAAGGCAGCAGAAGCACCCACGGACGCAAAGGCCTCATCCGTGACCTGTTGGTTCTTGTACTTGTGCTCCTTGCGCTGCTGCTTGCACCCGTATTTGTCCGTGCTGGCCTTCTTCGCTGCTAGCCGTCGAGAGGTCGAGCCCGCGACGCTGGCCATCTTGGGACAGGGCTCATAGTCGCCAAAGCCACAAAAGCGGCACTGCACATGACCCCCAGCTCCGCAACCGAAGCCTCTACTTCGTGGTGCCGGAGACATGCATGAAGCATCCCTGTAGCACAACTCCCCTGGGTTGTCTGTGCAAACAGCGGCAGCAAAGTCGGTGCACACCGCAGGGGGCAAGTCCTCATCTCCAGCAGCTTGGGGGCCAGGACAGCTCGCATCGTCTGTTGCAAGATGCAAAAGGGCATCTTCCGTGCTACCATAAGCCAAAGCAACGTGGGCACAATCGATGCTAACTTCTGGCACACATCTTCCATCACTGGAGGGCCGATGGCATCCAAGCTCTTCGCACTGCATCCGGGAGATGCATTCGGATCGGCCATCGAAGTGATGCAGAATGAGCTTCCCGCGCCCACATTGCGAGCACTGGTGCACTCCTGGCCCCGAGCAATACTTGCAGCCGGATGCACACGGCTCACAGCATAAGTGCACGAAGCAGTGCCCCTGAACCGGTGAACTTGGAGCAGAGCAGTCGTCTCCTCGAGAGTCTCGACACTTCACAACAGCTTGTTCAACGTAGAAGCCGTCTCTGCACTTCCTCTGCTCCTGATTAGGAGAGCTGAGCGGATAGGCTGCTTGCTCTCCGTGTGCACTGAGCCTGCATGCTTGCTCGGACTCCTCACTGTTTTCGACCACACTGACATTTGGAATGGCATCAAAATGGTCAACAAGCCGCAGAATCTCGGGGGGAGCATCCGCAAGAAATCGGGGCCGCTGCAGCGACGGATCATTCGGCCGCCGATTCTTCTTGCGCAAGCGCCGTGCTCTCAGAGACTCACTTGCAGGCTCTTGCGTGCTTGAGCTGTTGATACAGAATTCGGCGACTATTGGGCAGCTTTCCAGGCTGCACCTGTTCCTTTCCGTGGTCTTCGGGCAAACTGCCGCCCTGGTGTGTGGGTGCTGAAGGATCTCGCGCTGACGTGTGCGCCAGCCCACACCGCAGGTCTTGGAGCACTGTGTCCAGTCAGCCCAGTCCGACAGCAAGCACTCTTGAAGAGTACTCGCCAAACAAGGCTCCGTGCTGGGGGCCGGGGTGCCCTGGTAGCCTTCTTGACACTCTCCACAGGAGTTCAGACCAGCGTAACCGGCAAGGCATCGACCAGGACGGTGGAGGCTGGCACAGAAATTACGGTGCAAGCGAGGGCAGGCGGTGGTAGGCAGCCTTGCTGCAAGCAGCTCCACCTGCTGGAAGCCCAGCTGTGACCAGGATGAAGAGTTCATGGTCACCTTCACCTGGGATGCCAGTAGTTCGGCCGTGGTGGGAAAGCCAATGGAGATTGCGTGAGTAGCCGGCAAGTATTTCACGGGCGGGTTGCACCCTTGCGAAGCTAGGCCACTGGACCTCGACACGTTGGAGCGATTGTGTTCACAAACGATGATCGGCTCGGCGGTTTGCAACGTGAGGCCGAAGCCACGCAAGTCCTCAAGACTCTCAACACTTATTTCATCGAGACTTGCGAGGCTAAGCACCAGCAATGACTGAAATCGGCCAAGCTCAGCAAGCTCAAGTTGGATGAGGATTTCCTGGTTCCGAACCATTGGTGGCAAAGCGAGCCTCATCTCCCGAAGTGCGACAGGCTCTGCAAGCTGAAAACGCAAGTCAACGCCATCCGCTTCCACATACGGGGACATTGCTTCAGGAAGCATCTCAGCTCCATCCTTGCTTGCTGTCATGGTAGCGGTCAGCGCAGCATCGAAGAGTTCACCACACAAGTCACCTCCACGCCGCAGCAAGCACTCATAGCCAGCATCGATGGAACAGTTGCTGCATCCATCGCCGGGCTCCGAGTTCCCATCATCACACTCTTCGAAGGCTTCGCGCACACCGTCGCCACACACTGCAGCATGCACCTGGTGGGTTGCAAGAATTGACTGGCAGCTGTTCGGGCTGGACACGGAGCAACGTCCTAGCTTACGGTGAAGCATGAGAGCACGACCCCCTAGCTCGGAGCTCGATGTGAACTCTTTCTCTCGGCTTTGTGCTTGCGCTGATGGTCTCAGTTTTGCTGTTGCGGTCCGGGCTGGCCGTTGGTGTTGTGCTTTTGCTCATCACTGGTTGCGTGAGCTGGTCGCGGAATTGCGCTGTGTGCCCTGAGCTGGTCGTGGGTCGTTTTGAGTCGAGCAGAATTAAGGCCAAAATGGGCCAATCAGAGTTCAGCACCTGTTGAGAAGCGACGGAGGAGGTAAAGAGGGAACGAATCACAGCATCGTGATATGCCATTATCATGATATATCACGGTCATGCGAGCAAGGCTGCTTGAAAAGCAGGCAGCCAGATCAAGCACCCAGTTTCTATGACTTTGATCCTGCACCTGTGGACAAAACAAGTCAGACACGAGGCTGCTTCACTTGTCAGGAGCCTGGCACTTGCTGCTAGCCTTCATGAAATGCCATCATGCACGATCTATCTCTGCTGAGGCGTGGTTTGGGCGCCATTCGAGATTTCAAGGCTCGGAAAAACGACTTCTACCGCAGACCAACTTCAGAAGCTCAAGGCACCTCGAAGCTTCCCAAAGCCACGGGGTCGACGCAACTACGGGCATGGCACCAGCAGACCCAATAGATCCCAGGCTCCAGTGCCGGAATCTGCCATCTCTGCGAGGTTTCCCGGCTGCCCGAAAAGCCTGTCTGGGAGATTCGGAACTCGAGCTGCCTGTTCGTGTCCACTGATGGTATACTGCACGAGGAGTTCTGGTAAAGGCGGATTGTGGCGGAGACGGGCATGCCCAGGCCCACGACAGTCAACTCGAACGGCGTCGAAGCTGCAGGGGCTAAGCCCTCACTCCGAAGCCCGAAAGGCCCTGAAATCATGAGCTCTCCGACATAGACCAGGGGTGGGTCGTGCATGGGCCGTGGTGACCAACAAACGGCAAGCAGGGCATCAACGGCGTCGGTGCCCAGCTGCAGCAAGCCGTTCTTCAACGATCTGTTCTCCGAGCTGACCGCCTCAGAGCGAAACACTTGCTGTGAAATGACACACGAGGCCCTGGTTGCACTAATCACACAACAGCTGACCTGCCTGTAGAAGAGCCTCACCATCGCAATCTCCACGATGGATCGCCAGAGAGTCCTCGTGGCCAGAGCCTGGAATGTCCAGGAGACATTCCGCCCCCAGAGAGCAATCAATATCTGGACCGGCGACTGAAGGGCCGTCCACGACCAAAGTGCCAAACGGCACCGCAAAGGTAGCATCCGTGTATGGCCTCCAGCAAAGAGAGTACTCCCAGGGTCCTTGCTCTTCTGCAGCAGATGGAAAGCCGAGCAACGAAGAGTTCGTGGCATTCGCCGCGGCCCAAGCCGCTTGGAAAGGACCCTGAAAGGAGGGATGCCCCGCAGCTTTGGCGGCGCAGCCCCCCAGAGGGCTCGATCCTACGAAGCTGTCAGTCGGGATGTCGCCAAGCATTCCGATCTCACACTCTCCGGCTGCTCTGCAATTCCACATGCCTTCCTGCGGGCCTTGCGTCTGGAAGTAACGAATCTCGCCTGTGCAGTTCGCTCCTGTCAAACTCAGGAACGCCCCCTCTTCCACGACCAGCTGGTAAAGGGCTCCGGGTTTCATGGAGCTGCCTAGGAGCTGCATGCGCACCACTGCTCCGCGGATCTCCAAGAATTTCAGGAGGACGGTGCTGTTGCTGGCGTGTGCCTTCACACTCTCTTGCCCTCCAACCTGAATGGGCTCGCTAAACTGAAGCCGCACTTCAGAGTCGATTGGCAACGCCGTGCCGGCGTGGGCAACCTCAGAATCCATGGCCATCTCAGGGTACACGGCCAAGACCTCTGGAACTCCAAAGACAAAGCTTTCCTGATCAGGGATCTGAAGCTCTGCCTGCAGACTTCGCCCTGGCTCCGTCACCAAAGCAAGGTCCTCGTTCTGCAGTCTGGTCACTATGCTGCTGGCGAGCTCAGAGCGGCCTGTTTGCAGGACACTGCGGGTTGCCTCGCTCGAGCTGTGGCTGTTGAAAACAATCCGAGACTCACCGACGACGGAGCCTTGCTTTAACTGAATGCGCACATCACCGACAGAGACGCCAGAGAAGGCTGCGACTTCCTGGGCAAACGCTTGCCGAACCTTTTCAGCTTCCAGAGGCAATGACATGAGTTTGGCATAGCTCAGGCCACGCACAGTGACGTTCATGGAAACCATATTTAGGCTGGTGGCCGGGGTGGTTGTGAAGCTGAAGGGTAGTGGGAGCGCGTCTCTCTGAGAGGCGTCCATAAAGGAGAACGCGTCAGCAACAACGTCGTAGGTGGTGCCCGGTCTGAGGATGGTCGGGGGCATCAACTGCACAGAGTGGTGTGCAAAAGCTGCGGAGGCGACGGGTATTATTACATGTTCCGCCGAGTCAGTGCTTCGTGGAAGAAGTCTGACACAGGCGCTGCTTAAGCCAGGTTGTACCTCAGTGTTGAAAATGAGCATCAACCTGGCTGTGCAAGGCACCATTGTTTCACCGGGCAGGGGGCTGGTTGCCATTACCATCGGGTGCACGATGCTCTCAATGTCGGTGGTAACCGTTGACGAACATGTGCGCACCTTGATGCCGTGTGCAAGCATCTCTACATCTTCCATGGCCACAGATCCTGCGGGGCACTTGTCACGACAGTGCATGTTGTCCACCAGCACGCCTTCAGTGCACCAGTATGTCAGATTTCCTTCTGAAACTAAGCCATCTTCGTCCAGTGGCCTGAATGTGAATGGCAATGGGGTGGTAGCTGGAGGCTGCGATGACATCCATATCGTGATCATGACAAGCGCAACGACGGATAGTATCAAGGGCATCACACACAAGAAAGCAATTGCAAGTCTTTCTTTGGCATTGTACTGCCCGAGTACATCACGTGAGGCATGTATGAAACGTTTGCAGCGATGTCGGACACTCCACGGTTCGGTGTGGGTGGAAGCACCGGAAACATCGTCAGCCATTGCTTCAACACTGTCTGCACTTTGAAATCGAAGGCTGACTGCCGAAGGTGGCAGAGTGTCCAGTGACGGGGAAGTGTCACAGACTGGCGTCCCAGGCAAACCCCGAGAACGGTCCTTTTCGCCTGCTACTGCAGCATCGCGCAGACCAACACAAGGCTCCTCCAGCCCATCCACAGAATCCACCTCCACGTCGTCTGCGATGAGCGAAGGCATTGCTTGTGGAACGGAAATGACCTAGACATGCCGGTTATGCCTGCTGCTGATTGACGACGAGGTGCTCTGAAGGGCTCGGCTACTTTGATCCTCTGCATTGCTTCTGTGTCTAACAACTATCACTGGTAGACCAGCAAGGGCAGGACAAACACACCAATGCCATACCTCTCCAGCAGAGCAGCGGGACAAAAAATGTGTATCCATGTGGTACGATGAGTGGGATCTAGAGTGCCACGGCTCCGGAAGCGGTCGTTGCTACGGCCTGTTGCATGCGCTCATGACAGCTTTATATTATATGGACTTACAATGCCTGCTGACCAACCATCATTTCGCCGGCGCAAACAGTCGGCTCAAGGAGTGCATTCTCCTGAAATCAAAGGGTACTTCAAAAGCTTAAACGGAGAAAACTGAGGTCGCCGTAGTGGCGGAAAAATCGCGCAAATGCCCACCCTTTTGGGCCAGAGCTGCTGGAATGCAAAAATTGCCCGGCGGCCGATTTGTCGCCGTCAAAACGGGACCGCGCAGCGGCACGAGTCTCTGCAAAGGACAGCCTATGCAGCTGGTGCCGGCAAGAAAGCCCAGAGACTCCCGGCCCCCTCTAATGAGGGATAGACAATAGATCATACTTGGAACCCTAATACATGCTAAGGTATGTTCCATTTTTAGGGTTTGGGGTTTTGGGTTTTGGCTTTTCGGGTTTTAATGACAATATGACTTGAGGTATGTTGCTGAATTACGGGCTTTCGGAGTCTCCGGGAAACAAGTGTGGGGTGAACAGGCCTCAGCCAAGGGTCCAAGCCCATCCGGCGTAAGGCGGAGAGGAGGCTCTAGGCTTTCATGAGAATAAGGCTTCTGACAAGGGTTTAGGGTTTAGGGTTTAGGGTTTAGGGTTTAGGGTTTAGGGTTTAGGGGTCTGACAAGTACAGTCACAGTCATAGTCACACTGGTGATGTTAGGAAAGTAAAAACAAGGAACGTCAAAACTGCTTCACATCTCTAGTGGACTGAAGAGGCTATGAGGTTCGCAAACCTTAGGGTCTTAAGGTTTAGCGTTTAGGATTTCGGGCTTTGGGTATGGGGTCCTCTTTCAAGAACTCAAAACCCTCCCTGCGGCTACAACGGCCAAGAACCCCACCGAATGCCGGCGACGCCAAGAAGCACCCACACTTTTGAACACGACAATCCGACCCAGTGCTGCCCCCTCCGTGTCGGAGCTGCCATTCTAATCCTGGCCCTTCCTTCCCCTTGTAGGGCGGTTATTGCCCTTTATTGGTGGGGGGGCTAAACCCTAAACCCTAAACCCTAAAACCCGAAACCGTGGTTGTTGATACCCCTTCGAATCCCGAGCCATGAAGGCTTCGATAAGGGTTGGCTTTAGAGCGTTGCTTGAAGGGGTTCCTGTTGGGGTTTCTTTCAGGGATCCAAAGGGTTCCGATAGAGGGGTCGAGGTATGCCGGGCGGGCTTCGTGCGTATGATGGTAGGGGCCTTAATAAATAGAACAGGATTTGGGGGACCTTTGTACTATGATTATAGTAACGAACCCCTAGAATAGTCTAGGTAATTATTTAGGCTTCTATACTAGGATTTACGATTTGGTGGTTTTGGGTTTGGGGCTCACGGTTTCTCCGAACTCCTTTTGAACTCCTGACGGTTTAGAGTCCGGGTTTGAAAAGTCTAAAGTGCGTTGGGATCTCGAGCACTCCTTGCCTAGGGCTGGGACCATTCCTCCGACATTTTGTAGATCAGATGAGCAAGTCGCTTTTGTAGGGAACAGGATTCACGCACCCAGATGTTTGCGGATCTATGTATTGTGGTTTAGGGTACCACCTTCTAAGAACATGAGCAGGCAGCAAGGCAGTCACCTTCAGAAGTTGTCGCTCATACCCGAAACTGCTTTGCAGACGGGTTCTTGAAAACGATGGCTGTGCAAATCCTCGCCGTCCGGTGCAACATTTAGGTTTTAGGGTTTAGGGTTTAGGGCTGTTTTCAAGTGACTGCCAGTTTTTTAACATGTCTTGTAGCTTGTGGACCCGACGGCGCGGATGAGTCCTCCGACATGCTTCTGCGCTGAATCGCCATGCTCTGCAGTGATCATCGGAACAAGCCGACCTCAACTCATGGATTTCGCTGCTTGGTGTTGAGAACAGAGAGAGCGTGTCCAGAAGGCAACTGTGCTTCCTTCGCAATCTCCTATCAACGAGTAAGGCTCTCGTGATGCCCGCAGGAGCTTGTACAAAGCAGCGCATCGCCGCACCGTCACTTTCGCATGATCCCTACAGTCTCCTGAACACAGGATGATGTCGCACGCCAAGATGCAACTGGCGTGATCAAGATCCTATTCCTCGTCATCGTCGTCGTCGTCATCGTCATCGCCATCCTCGTCAGGGCCACAGCAGTGGCACAGCTAGGCTTTCCTTCTCTCTCCACACGACTGGCAGGCCCGCCTTCTTGCCCGGGAAGCTGAAACCAAGGACTTAGATGTACAAGTCTGCAACAATCCTAGGGTTCTTTACTGTAACTCTACCATACTATCTTCCAAACCCTATTCTCATCAAGGCCCCTATACTATAAACCCCCTAAACCCTAAACACAAGAGGCGCCTCTCAAGGTGCAGCCGGCCAGCTTATGGTTTCCGGTGAAGGCACCCCAAGCTCAGCCAGAATCGAATGGTAGAGAGCCGTCGCCTGGACAGAAAGGGAAGGAATAGCCGGTTTAGGGTTTAGGGT